GCCAGGTGGGGCAGAAAACTCATTCATTCATGCTCTTGTTTATTCAATAAACTTTGTGGAGGTCCCACTATGTGCCAGTATGGGGAGTGGTTGCAGCTGGGATTCTGGAGCCAACCTGAGTGTGTCCCGCCACTTTTGGTGGGTCCCTGGGTAAGTGGCTTCACCTTTCTGAGCCCTAACTTCTTCCTTCATCCCTGGGTTCTTGAGAGGGCAGGAGATAGCCAGGTGAGAGGGGAGGGGCAGGTGTGTAAAGGGCGGAGGTAGATGGGACAGGACAAGCTTTTTTTTAATTCTGAGATTGTGGCACTCATGCACCTTTGCTTTTAAGGATAACTGCAGTGTTTTGAGTTGAATGGATTTAGCTTGTCCAGTGTGGCTCCCCTCCTGCCTTCTGTCTCTTCCTGTCTCTATGTGTGTGTCTAATTATATGTGTTTGTCTCTATTTATACTTGTGTGTCTCTCTGTCTTTCTCAGTGTTTCTGTTTAGGTCTCTATGTTTCTCTCTTCATATATGGGAGTAAGGGGCGGAGGGGAGTCTTTCTGTGTGCAGGTCTCTCTGTTTTGCTCTCAGTGTGTGTGTGGCCTTTCTGTATTCCCATTCATTTTCCATCTGTCTGTCTATCTATCCATCCATCCATTTATCATCTATCTTTTTCTATCAATCTGTCTGTCTTTTTGTTTCTGTCTCTCTCCTTTTCTCTCTGTCTCTGTCTCTCTCTTCATACCTCTGTCTCTCATCCCCATATCCATCTCTCCCTGTGTGAGTGTCTCCTTTCTTTGGATATTTTTGGTCCTTCTTGTCTGCCCCTCTCTCCAAAATAGCTGTCCTCCAGAAGAACTCTGGGTTTTTATTCCCTCTTCTCTTTGCTACTCCCCAGACCAACTGTGTGACCCACAACTGTATGTTTAAGTGGAGGAGTGCTGGAGTGAGAGTGTTTGATTTCCCAGTCTTCCCTCCCCTTCTCTAGAAGGGTGGCATCCTTGTTCATATCTGTCCATCTTTGAATCTCCTCTGCATTCTAAAACCCTAAAGAGACATCACAAAAGGCTTTTCTCAACATCAGCATGTGAGTCCCTTTAAAGACCAGCACAAAATCGTTACACCAACTTTCTGCCAATCTCCCTGTTCTTCACTTCAGCAGAGGGTGGGTTGGAGATAGCAAGGCCACCTATGGGCTCAGCCATTCACAGCTTTCTTTCCCACCTCTGTCCTCACTCACTGTGTGAATGGAGAAAATGCTCCTCCAGCCTCTCTGAGCACCTTTCTCCCAGAGCCAGATAGCAGCTGATGCATAGCCTCTGCACAGTACACTGCGCAGCAGGCCCTCAGGAGACATCAGCTCCTCTGGACCAGAGCACCCACTCTTTCAGAATGCATTCATTCGTTGACGCATTCAACAATGATGGCAAGATACACCATGGCTGGAGAGAGCACAGGCTGATCCCAAAGGCCCTGTGAGTCTCAATTTCTAAGAACTCCAGATCATTGTTACTCAGAGACCTTGAGGCAGGCATGAACGGTATTATCTGAGTGCAACAGGAGTCCCTCCAGAGTGGACTTCCATGAAATGCAGTGTCATGGACCCATGGAGCATGCTTAGACCTTTGAAAAATCACCCAGTAAAATTCCGGTGGAAAAAAGTGGCATAAGTGACAGTTGATTTTAAGCATCCCTCCCTTTGTGTGATAGAGAGTCTTCACGGGCGGCAAGGAGAGGTCGCACCCAGCCGGCACACTGCCTTTGGGCTGTGGTCACAGGAAGAGAATATAAGCTTTTCTCACACATTGTTTTTTCACTTTGGATTCTCACATTCCTTAATCCACTCATGATAAATTTGTGAAAACACACTTATATCCTACATGTCTTTGTCAGGGCTTTATCCAAGGCTAGCAAGTGGGATGTTTTAATGATACTTTGTGGTTGGTTGGATAGAGGGAGGGAGGGATAGATTGTTGTATGAGTGTTTAAAGGAACATGAACCCTCCAGGCAGATACCCTCCTTATATGATCACCAGGAAAGCCCAGAGTCCGGTGATTGGTTTTGAAAGAAGATTATAGAGTTATTAAGACAACCCTCTGGTTGCCGTCCAGTCTGCCTTCAACCAGGGCCAAGAGGATAATTATCCCCAGGGTCACAGCTGCTGCTTGACCAGCCCAGAAGCCAGAGACATTAGGACTCATCAGAAGAGCTTGAAGAAATGGGCCCAGAAGCCTTGGGCTAAACCCTCTGAGGTCTCCTCTGTCCCTGTAGACAGACTGTTCACTTCTCCTCCACCCCCCAAGAGCAATCCAAACACACTTCTATCATAAAACAATTCAGCATTGTTTTCTATTTTCCACAGTTGGCTGAGAGCTCCTCAAAGGCAAGGATTTTTCTCCAAATTTTATTTTTCTAGTACCTAGCATGGAACTTGGCATGTGGTATAGACTAAACTAATATTGTATGGATCAATGAGTTGATAGTTAAATGATTGAAGAGGGGATTCACAGATGATTTGCTTTGAGGTTGATGGGTGAGTGGATGGATGGATGGATGGATGGAAGGTTTTAAAGGAGATGGGTGGTTGGATGGATAGATGAATAGATGGTTGCGTTTTTTTGGATGATAAGCTGTTGAATAATTTGCTAGATGGGTAGTTAAATGGTTTACTGGGTGAGTGGTTGGAATTTTATGGATGGGTAGATGACCGGATAGGCGAGTGGGTAGGTGGATGGATGGATAGACATAGGCATGGATGGATGGATGGAAAGATGTGTCCTTTTTGATGATTAGAAACAGCTTCCCACATGATACAAGAATCCTCCCTGCAATGCCTCTGATAGTCCTCAAATGCATGTTTCTTTACCTGCAGTAACTCACAAGGTATTTCATTAACTGACATGCAGAATTATTGTAAACTTTTCCAAATTCCGGGTATGCTAATGCAGTGTGTATTAGTAGGTAAGGGCATAGGCTTTGGAAACAGGCCTGGGTTTGAATCTCAGCTGAACTAATTAAAGCAGTGTGGCCTTGAACAAATAAATCCCTTGGCCTCTCTATGCTGTGGTTTCCTCCTTTGCAAGATGGGAATAATATCATTATGGTGCAGGGTGGTTATGAGGATTACATGAAGTAATGAATGGCGAGGCTGATCAGTGCTCAGTAAACTCTATTGCTATTATTATGGTAGTGAACCAAAATGGACCTCCTGTAACATTTTTTCCACCAAGAACCACATGTGTGCCAGCTATTGTTAGAGTGTTGTATATTTAATGACAAACAAGACCAAATAGTCCTTCATCTCTTAGGCTTTATGTTCTAGTTGGGTATTTGCACAATAAACAAGTAAATGATTAAACAATTTCAGACAGTGTTAAATGCTATGCAGGACATTGAAATAAGGGGAAGTGAAAGTGATATGGCTGGAGGAGGGTGGCCTTTTATTGAGCTGTCAGCTAAGGACAGGAAGATGCAGTCATGCAAAGATTTAAGGAAGGGGTGTTCCAGGTAGCAAGAATAGCCAGTGAAAAAGTCCTGAGGCAGAAACAAGCTTGCTTGAGGTAAAGAAAGAAGAAGGCCATGGAACAAGGTAAGTAATAGGGTCAATCAGGGCAGAAGTCTGCAGGAGACAGATCACATAGGCTGCGGGCGGGGGCGGGGGGGGGCGGTGGGCCATGCGTTTTGGTCAATAGTCAAGTTAATCTCATCCCGTGCTCTGAAACAACACAGAAGGTGCCTTATTCCTTTGACAGCCTCTCAGCTTTCCCAGCTAACATTCTGGGGTACATACAGCTAATTCCCTGACAATATTCTGGGCCCATAAACCTAGAAACCCACAGGAAGTCAGGCTAGACTCAGAGGAAATCAGGCTGAAGAAAGCCAGGAGATCTCTAGTAATCTCTTGTTGGAATTGTAATGAACTGAACCAATAAGCTGTGTTTCTCCTTGAAACCTTGCCACTGGTACATTAACAAGGAAAGGGAGGAGAAAGTTCCAGGATAAAGTATGTTTGGAACCATTTATCCAGGTGGTATAGGATCTAGGCTTTCAAAGAAAACGAGGATATGACTGATGGCGGCTGATCTCTAGCTGGGCTGACCTAGAAGCTCAAATGGGGCCATTAGGATCTAGACCCCCTCCGTCACTCGGGATGCTTTCTCTGTATTGGCTTCCCTCTTAGGCATTCTCTCTCCAAGTGGGGACAGAAGGTCTCTTAGAAGCTCTGGGTGTCATGTGTAACCAGAAAAAAGAAGTCTCTTTTCCAGTTGTTTCAACGAAAGTCTAGAATTCTGTCTTCTTGGCTAATTAGCTTCATTGGGTCACATGTTCACCTCTGAATCATATAATCACTGCCAGGGAGAAGCAGTGTTCTAACTGGCAAAGCCACAGCTCTGTGGACACCCCTGGAACTGATAATGGAGGGAGAGGGATGATGCCTTCCAAGATATTGGACTGTAAGTTTTTTGTTATGCAAGATTAGTAAGTTCTAAATATCTGCTGTACTTATAATCAAGAATACTATTCTGTACTCTTAAAATTTCGTTAAGAGGGTAGCTCTTATGCTACCTGTTCTTGCCACAATTTAAAAAAAAAAAAAAAAGGATACTGTTAGGAGGAAACGGAAGAATGGATCCTAGACAGGCAAAAGCAGCAGTTATCTTACGTTTGCCAGTTCAGCGTTATCTGCTCCTTAATCTGTGGTTCAGAGGTAACATCTCTTATACCTCTCATCTCCTCTTGTTCAGTAGTTTAATATATGTACCTGTATGCCTCCATCAGCTTGTCAGAGCCCCTTGGGAATGTAAACTACAACTTAAACACCTCAAGGTCCCCCACTCCTGTTGCACCAGGACAGCAAAAGAGTCCAGGATATGCTTGGTTAAGTTGAATCAGGTTTCAGAACCCAATATGACTAGTGTGTGCCCCTTCAATAGTCCCCAAGATGAAGCATCAGAGAACCTGCTCCCAAAGGAAATGCTGATCCCCACCTACCTCTGTGATCTTTTGGGTTTTCCCCAGGCAAAGCCAACAAGAATGTCCAGTGGGATGAGGATTCAGTGGAGTACATGCTAGCCAACCCAGTCCGAATTGCTTTTGTCCTGGTGGTCCACGGCCGCGCCTCTCGGCAGCTTCAGCGCATGTTCAAGGCCATCTACCACAAAGACCACTTCTACTACATCCACGTGGACAAGGTGAGACCCTCTTCCAGTTGCCCCCACTGGTCTTTTTCTGTGGGTCTGTCTGCCCCGCTTCAAGCCATCCTCCCTTCCAGAGAAGGCTAGTAGGCTGAACAGCCACCTCTCCTAGGAGTGTTCGGTCTTGAAGTGCTGCGTGCATGTGAGTGTTTGGGTTTCAGAGTTCCCAGCTGTGACTTTAGACTTTCTCCATAAATATTCTTTTTCTTACCTCTTTTCCTTACTGTCCTACTGGTCAATGCACTGCCTGCCACTTTGGGAGGATAGCTATCCTGGGAGTGGGCACACTTTTTCTATAAAGGGCCAGATAGTAAATATTTATGCCTCTCTGTCTCAGGTACTCAACTCTGCCATTGTCATGTGAAAGCAACCATAAACAATACATAAATGAAAGTGTGTGGCTATGTCCCAATAAAGCTTTATTTACAAAAACCTGCAGCAGGCTTCCTGGTCCCTGAGCTATCTTGCCCCAGAGGTTTCTGTTAGTCTGCTGATGTGACATGATTATGTCCTTACTCAAAAGGCGAAGGGGTGCTTGATCCAAAGTCTGCTTCTAGCAGGCCTGTCAGAGGGCCACAGAAACATTCCGCTCTCAGAGTACACCTCAGGTTTGATAGCCATGTTTCGAAGCTTGCTATCCTCAGACCACATGCATCAGCCTTGTATAAAATGCAGAGTCCCGGGCTCCTCATGGACCAGTGGGTGAGAGGTAGGGCCAGGGAACCTGCATTTTAAATCACTAAAGCAAAATTTTAAAAATAATAAAGCTTTGAGAAGTGATGCAGAAAGATGCCCCAGGCCTGAACCAGTTACTTGGCAAAGTTCAGAAACCCTGTCAGCTAGAAGGGAAGGGACAGAGAGGAGACAAGGGGCATGTGTGGGTGTTTTCTGGGCTGCTAAATGTCATTCCTTTCTCTCCTGGGAAAAAGCGCTCCAATTACTTGCATCGCCAAGTGCTCCAGTTTGCCAGCCAGTACGACAATATCCGTGTCACCCCCTGGCGGATGGCCACCATCTGGGGAGGAGCCAGCCTCCTGTCCACATACCTACAGAGCATGCGGGACCTCCTGGAGATGACCGACTGGCCCTGGGACTTCTTCATCAACCTCAGCGCAGCCGACTACCCCATCAGGTAAGGCGGCCCGCAGCCCCGGCCAGCCTGCACTGAGGTCCTGCTCCCTCTCCCGTTTCTTACACTTGGCAGGGAAACAAGAGGCAGAGGCAGTTTGCCTCCTGTCCAGAGAAACACTTCTGCCTCCGTGTCAGAAATGCTTCTGTTTTCGTAGATCTCTTAGCATAGGATCCATGTTGGACCTGACAATCATTTGTGCATTCATTCATTCATTAATTTGCTTGTTTAACAGATATTTTTTGAGTACATGGTTTTTTCCTGCTCTGTTCAAGGAAATACTAAAGGAACTGTCACCCCTCCCTCTACAGAGTTTCCATCCAAGTCAGAGAGACGCATTAAAAAAATAATTCAAATGGTACATGGAAAAAACACACAGCAGAGAGAGGACGCAGGGGAGAGCTGTAATTTTAACCAGCATGACCAGGACCGTCCTTCCCGAGAACAATGGGAGAGGAAGGCGGAGTGAGTTGCTTAGGCAGGGAAAGTGGTCCAGGAAGAGGGAACAGCAGGTGCTGAGCCCTGAGGTGGGAACACACCTGGTGTGTTGAAGGAACAACAGGGCCCAGTGTAGCTAGAACAGAGTAAGTCAGGCATAAGGTAGTAAGAGACATAAGACCAGAGAAAAAATTGGGGAAAGATGATAGAGATTCTAGAATTCGGCTTTTACTCAAGCAAGATGGGAACCACTGGCATGTTTTGAACAGAGGAGGACAAGGTATGACCTGAGAGTGGAGGAAGGAAGGTAGGTTTTGACATTTGAGGACCATGGATGTTTGGGCTTTTTCTTCTTTCTTACTTTTTTTTTTTTTTTGACTCCTATTAAATTTTAACAAATGAATTAATTTCCTGCATTTTTAAATTGGGAGATTTCTCATGGAAGTGCAGATTTTGAGCCTTTCTCAAGTTCTGCCCACTCTGGGCCTCGAACCTGCGTGGCCACAGTTACATGGGGCTGATAGGGCAGTCAGCAGCCTGGAGGTGGTGGCGCTGCCACAAGGAGTGTCTCTGCACAGACATTGCTCTGCTCTGTAAAATAGACCATAAGCAAAGAAAACCCCTCCAGAGACAAAAGGCAAGAAAACAATCTATATATGTCCTATCAAGACAGCAGCTCTTAGCCCTGGCCTGTGTGGCTCAGTGGATTGAGCACCAAACTGCGAAGCAATGGGTCACCAGTTTGACTCCCAGTCAGGGCACATGCTTGGGTTGTGGGCCAGGTCCCCAGTGCGGGGCGCGTGAGAGGCAACCACACATTGACGTTTCTGTCCCTCACTTTCTTCCTCCCTTCCCCTCTCTCTCAAAATAAATAAATAAAATCGTTAAAAAAAAAAAAAAAGATGGCCGCTCTTTGCTCAACTGTGGCTTCCATCCTGATTTATTGAGAAACCTGAAAAACAGAAGTGAGTGGATAGGGAGAAGGGACAATGTGTGTGAAGGAGAGGGCCTGCCTTCCTCTGATGGCATGAGGGCACTGGGGACAGCATTCCCGGAAAGGCTAACTGAAGGAATCTGAAAACACATACATGCTGCCCTGGCCAGTGTGGCTTGGTTCGTCAGAGCATTTTCTCATGCACTGAAATGTCATGGGTTCAAGTCCCAGTCAGAGCACATGCTTAGGTTGCATGTTCAGTCCCAGGTCAGGGTGTGTACAGAGGCAACCAATCAATAGATGTTTCCCCATTACATTGATGTTTCTCTCTCTCTCTCGCTCGCTCTTCCTTCCTCTCTGTCTAAAATCAATGGATGTATCCTCGGTGAGGCTTAAACACACACACACTTTTATCACAGCAATTTTCAAACATGCACAAGAGTCCCAAGACTTACACATCACCCAGTTTCAACGATATCAATTCATGACAATCTGGTAGCATTTGTGTTCTTGCCCTCTTGCCCCATCCCAGTGAAGCATTTCCACAACATCATAAAATTGTATCTGTAAATATTTCTGTATACATCTCTCTTTGAACATAACATCAATATGATTATCACATCTAAAACATTCATAGTCATTCCTAATGTCATCAAATATTGAGGCCACATATTCCCAGAAGTTTGGCTTTGGCGTGAAGATCCAAAAAGATACAGGCATGGAGGGCAGGCCTTTACTTAAAGCTAGAAAGTGGCTTCTGTCTCCTTCACAATGTGGTTGGCGGTGCACCCCTTCAGTCCTGGGCTTGGTGGCAGCCCATCGTCTGCCAGGAGACCCCGGCCTCTGGAGGACGTCTGGGGAAAGCACCATATTTGCTCAGTTCAGGCAGAGTATAGCTGGCATTCTCGAACCTGATAAAAATCATGGGGGTTAGAAAGGTAGCTCTTTTCTTTTGTTTGTAGGCTAACATGGATACAAAGTGGGTCATTTTGAAACATTACTGGCAGAATTTTACTTTCTTAATTATTCATTCAAACATTCGTTCTGCAAAGATTTATTAAGCAGCTACTGTGCTAGGCACTATTTGGGCATTTAGTGAACAAAAGCCACACAGCCCCTACCTGGTGGTACCGTAGTTGGGAAGATGGAGTTAAATAATCAGGAAAGAGAGAGATCATGGAAGGTGTGAAAGGGCTAAAAAGAAAGGAAGATAGTCTGAGAGCAGGAGGGGCATAATCGGGGGGTCAAAAGGCCTCTGAATATGCAGTTTTGCTTTGAGACCTAAGGATAGGATGGGATTGGCAAGCAAATGAGAAAGAGAAGATCATTCTAGACTAGGATTTCCCACCCTGGGCTCTATGGACATAATGGACTGGATCATCCTGTGCCGTGGGGGCTGTCCTGGGCACCGTAGGGTGTTTAGCAGCATCCCTGGTTTCCACCCACCAGATCCCAGTGGTGCTCCCCACCCCCAGCCACCGCGACAACCACAGATATCTCTAGTTGTTTTCCCCAAGGGCAAAATTACCTCCAGCTGAAAACTCTCCAGTTCCTGCGAGAAGAACAGCCTGGACAAGACTTGGGTCAGAGATGAACTAGTTGCATTTGAGACACAAACATGGATAGAGTGCAGTAAAAGAATGAGGAGAGGTGAGTGAGAGTTTAGAGAGAGAAAGAGCCAAGGGTGACAGAACATTGTCCCTCCATCTTTGAAGGATGGACTGAGTTCAGAAATATCCTAAAATGCTGAGTGTAGCAGCTACAGTGGAAGGTACTTCTTCAACCCTCAAAGCAAACCTGTTTTATTGAAGGACATGCTGAGGCCCAAGATCATATCAAGAGTACATGGTAGGGTGGGGTATAGAACCAGTTCTGTCTGGTTCTAGGTTTGGTATTCTTTCTGCTTGAAGTTGGCCCCTCAGGAGAGTTAGCTGGCCAAGAGTAGTGGGATGGCCCCAGGCCAACTCTCGAGCACAGCTACCCCTCAAACTCCTGGCTGGACAGGGTAGTGATTGCACCACCTGGCAGCAGAAAATCTCTTGAGAAAAGTCACCTATTGTCCCCAAGTCTGACTAGCTAGGATCAAGATTCCCACACTCTTTCCTCCAGGCCTCCAGTGGAGGCCCAAAGGCTATTTCAGCCTAGGGCAGGTGGCAGAGCTCAGCCAGAGACCTTATGAGGTCTGGTAGGTGTGCCTTAGGCCTGTGGCACTTGCCAGGAGACTCATGTCAGGTCTCAAGGCTGCCCCCTAGAGGCCCTGGGTTGAATTGCAAGTTGAAGCCACAGCTGGGGCCACTTACCCAAGTTCACTCTGCAGGAATCTCAGAATTCTTAGCTTTTCAGCATCCAAGAGGATGAGGGTTCCGACTCCCAGGAGATGGCTACGGTTTGAGTCTGAGTTCTGCCACTTTACTAGCAGAACTAGAACCATCATCAAGTAAATTCAATCTTTGTGAAATCAGGTTGTAATAATGCCACCTAGCAGAGTGTTGAGCACTTAGAAATACTTAGTAATGTCAGTGGTTAATTCTCTGGTATGTAAGGCTGAGCCTCATATCTCTGAGGGGCCAAGAATTCCCTTCTCAGACCATGTGCCCCACCTATTTGGAGGCTCAGAGAAGAGAGTCATCCCATTTCTAGCCTTTTTAGCTTTATGCTCCAAGTCTGCATCTCTATCGGTCTGCCTCTCTCTGCTCTCATTTCCATGCCCACCCCAGGTTCTTCTGCCCACTGTGCTTTGCCAGCCTGCTGGCCAGAGGCACTTCATGCATCAAGCACTGCTGGTTCCTCTTGCTGTTGTTTTCATGAAGTCGCCCCACACAAAAACATATGAATTTTGCAGATGAATGGTTTTATCCTGGGCAACTCTGATAGACTTTCACTTCCCATCTGCCACTCCATCTGTAGCTTCCAAAACCATGACTTCTTCCATCCCAGGAAGAGTGAGCAAACTTAGGAGCCTTGTGCAAAAGGTGGGAGCGCCCAAGAAGAGGCTTCTGAGGTGCTCTGAAAACTTGAGGGGTAGCCAAGGGCAGAATCCGCCAGCCTGGTGCGGCTACTCTGATCTGTTTGTGATTTGATATGTCCTCCCTGTGTCTGCTGCCCAGCTCTGCCTGGGAGACCAAACTCTTCCCCTTTTAGGCACTATAGACTCATGGTCTGTACTGGCCACTAGCCTTGTGTAGACCCCAGACACAGCCTGGTTGTAGATCCTTTGCCACCACTGACTGTCCATGTGACTTGGCACAATCTGCTTTAGCTTTCTGTGTCTTTGTTTGTTTACCTGAAAAAAGGACACAATCTTAGTACCTTTTTTGTAGGGCTCTTAGGAGGATTAAAGAAAATATTGCATGTCAAGAGCTTAACATGGTGCCTGACACATAGAAAGTGCTCAGTAAATACAGGCTGTCACTATTTTAGCAATGGAATAGCGTGGGCACCACATACTGGGCTTAATTGTCAACTGAATTGTTTTCCTATTTCCCATTACCCATGAGAAGACTAGTAAAATATTTCTTGAACTCACATCTCTTTAAAAAGTGGGAAACGCAGGGTTAAACTGTAAAGGCTAATGTTTCAAGGAAAAACAGGACAGAACCAATTCATGTGAACATGCAGAACATTCCTGTAT